TTTTTTTTTTGGTACCAGGGATTCAACTCTGGTCCTTGCCCTTGCAAGGCAGGCCACCGAACTGCTAAGCTAAATCCCTGGCCCTACCTTTCCATTTTAATGCTCATGCTTAGATTATATATGATCTAATTTCTTTAAAATGTTGTTTATTCTTGCCTAGAGGCTACCAAACTCCAGGAAGTCCTACAAATGGAACCAATGACAAATGTGCTAGACTCCTTTTACTAGGATCCACACGATCAACCTTGTAAAAAGTTCATAACTGCTATACTACAATATGACTTCTCTCTAGGGCCCATTAGTTAACTTCCTGGAGTGGTCTCCTGGCTGTGGTCTCCCTTACATTGACCCTTCTCAGCTCAAAGCAGTTAGATGATTTTAGAAAACTACACCTTTAATGAAAATTAATGAGTCAAGCCAGCCTCTAAAATTGGATGGCATTGGACATTCTAACTGTAGCACACGGAAGTGTTTGCACAATTATAAAAGCTGAATGTTGTGTGTTCATTCTGGATCCATCTGCTAATATCTCCACAGCTGTTCAAGATAGTAGAAGACAGGTTAATGCTATGTCGGATTTTGAAGTCCCCTGGACCTTCTCTTTATCCTCTTTTGTGTGAGGCTACTACTAAGTTCCTCCTGGGGGAAACAACTGTTGGCTATATTCATAACAATCCTGCTGGTCTTATTATTTGGCCCATGTATTCTTAACTGTTTCTTTGCCTTTGTCTCCTCCAGACTCAAAGCTATAAGCCTACCCAAGATGACAGTGCCTGGTGCCTATCAAGGGCCGTTAGATAGACCCTCTGTAGAGTAAGTTTGACTACTGATCACAACCATGACTCTCTTCAGCTGGAAGTAGCTAGAACAGTTTTCACCCCTTGTCCCCTCATGGCAGTTACGGGTACTTCTTCAGAGGGGGGAATACTGGAGATAGGTAAGTTAATTAGATATCTTGTTGGCAACTAGACAGGGCTGACCCTCAAAGGAGCCAACATGGAGGACAACTGAGACATTCACTGAAGGCCAGCATTATAAAAAGAGAGAAAATACTACACCCACATATTTCCCCTAGGGATGAATAGCAGTGATTGATATTCTGAATAGGTATCAGTCACCTGGGTAGGGGACCAAGACCCTTCCAGAAAAGGTCCCTGACCCATCCCTTATTAAAAATCTGAAAATCTTTGTTTGTTTCTTGTGCACTTGCTACATGATTTGCTTCCCCATTGGGTCCTCATTTAATCAATAATATCTAAGCCACTATACTTGTCATAATCTTATTGGTTGCTCATAGTTTTGTCCCGCCTTGTGTCTACCTTGTGATTTCTCATTGGGTCAATATTACCTAAGTGACTGCCCTTGTAATCTTATTAGTTGACTACAGTTTTGTCCCACCTTGAATCCACCTCACCTCGTGGCTTTATCCCATAAAACACCTTTGAGAAGCAGGGGAGGCAGGCAACCCACTTTCCAGTTCCCCTTCTGTCTCTCTTAGACAGAAGTTATCTTTCTCTCAATAAATTTTTCCTACTCTTAAAAAAAAGGAAGTTAAGTAAATCTTTAGTTTCAATTTTTCTGTAGTGGCTAATGTGTACAGAGACACTGAAACCCACCCAAAATCATTTGGATGAGGAGCCTTATTTTTTTTTTTCTTCTCCAGGTAGTCAGTCTCACAGGTTATGCTGTTTAAATTCAGTATTCTTTATGCTGTAAGTTATTTCCACCTCAGCCATGTCTGCCTTTGGGACAGTGCATATTTCAAAACCAAAATTCTTTATTTCTCTGCACAAGTCAAGCTGCTGGTAGACTACGTTAGCCCTCTGGTTTCCAGCCATGCTGGTCAGTTTGTTCAGTCGGCAGATTCAGGTTATCTTCAGGTCAACGTACAGAAGCATAGTTTAGTTAGGTTCATCACTAGACTGTATCAGGCGAAGGCACAAACCAGGTATCTTTCATTGTTTAACTCTACTTGCATTATCTCTGATAACCCTCGGTCTTGAGGGCATGTTAGTGAGGAACTTGTGGAAGGCCTGTTGTTTCATGAGCCCATCTGGCTGTGGCAGGTCTTATACAGTACAATAGTGGTTACTCTGAGCAGCTGCAAGCTTGATGAACTTTTCTTACTGAACTATAATTGAAGAGATATCAAAAGAAGAATGACAAATGTATTTTAATATCAGACAAGGCAGTTAGTTTTGAGGTGAACTTTCCACTTTTGGTTCTACTTCAAAACATAGCGAGAGAAGCAAATTGTTTTTGTGATTTTTTTTTTGTTTGTTTGTTTTGGTACCAGGGATTGAACTCGGCTTCTTGTGCTTTTGAGGCAGGCAGCAGAACCACTGAGCTAAATCCCCAGCCCTATTTTCATGATTTTTAATTGATTTTTAAAATTATTTTATTTTGTTTTTTTTTTTAATTGACCTGGAACTCACTATGTAGCCCAGGCTGGTCTCAAACTCACAACAATCCTCCTGCCTCAGCCTCCCGAGTGCTGGGATTACAGGCGTGTGCCACCACGCCCGGCTTTTATTCGTGATCTTTTAAACTGCTGTTTTAAACTGTAGTGGGCGAATGCTTCACTTACTCCCAAAGAGCAAAAGTAGCTGGGATTGACTTATAGCACATGCTCTGTTTCATGTTGTGGGGGAGAAGCTACACTTTTTTTGACAACCTTCTCCAGCCAGGGGCTTACTAGGATTTAGTACCTGATCTTTTCTGTTGGGAAAGGGTAGGAATGACTGTTTTGAAGATGGCAGGGAAGCGGGAGAAGAAAACAGGAAAGTGAGTGTGTATGTGTTGTAAATTCACTGTCACCCCCTCTGTGCCCAGCAAGGGACAGATATTCTATGTATTTTTTTTCATGACTGCACCATACATGTATTTTTCCCCTCCCTCATGTCTTCTAAACGTACACAAAAATGATTCATCATATCAACTTGTTCTTGTGGTTGTATTTCTTTTGCTTATCCTGTGCTCTTGGGTTCTACAGTATTTCTATAATTATGTAACAAGATAATGTTAAATTGTTATCCATCGTGTAGTTATATGTGTGAAAATTTTTGATCAATTCTTTAAGCAATGTATCCTGTTTGCAAAGGCACAATGAAGGTGCATCTTATGTAGGCAATAAAGCTAACAATAAACTTTATTTAACCAAAAAATAGAAATAAACATGCCAGTGTGACTTTGGATTGGGAAAATATGATTTATAAATTTAATAAACGGGACTTTTAAAAATTAAAAATATCTGCATTGTGAAAGATACTGTTAGGAGAATAAAGGACAGGACAAAGAGCAGAAGAAAATGTATCTGATAAAAGAATTTGCATTTGGAATATATAAAATGTAATTAAAACTCAATAATGAAACAATTAAAAGGAACACATTTTATATTATTTAAATGTTTGTTCACTAGCATAGTAACCATTATGATAGAGTAAGCTACATATTTATATATTCAAAAGTGGCAAATTCAAATTAAGATGGATCATGAGTGTAAAGTACACACATTTTGAAGATTTAAAAAAGAATATACAATAGCTCATTAAAATGTAGTGATTACTGTAGAAATGGTAATATTTTGGATACATTTTTGTTGAATAAAATATATATCTATCATGCATTTCAGGAACGTTATATGAATGGAATAATACATATATGACCTTTGAGATTAACTTTTTCACTCAGCATAATGCCTTTGAGGCCCACCCAAGTTCTTGTGTGTATCTATCTGTAGCAGTTCATCTCCTTCTGTTGTGGAGTTTAATATTCACTTATTCTAAGATATTTTGGTTGTTTCCAGTTTGGGCCATTACAAGTAATGCTGCTTTGAATAATCACGACAGGGTTGTGTTTATTTGTGATAATGTTTAGCAGAATGACAGCTGGGTAGTATAGTCAGCATATATTTAGTTTTGAACTAGAGTACCAAACTTTTCCGGGTGATCGTACCATTCCACATTCCCACAGCAAGGTGTAAGAGGTCTGGTCAGTTCCTTCCTGGCATTTAGGCCGGCTAGTAGTCTCTATTTTGGCTTTCGCTGTGTGTGTAGTGCAGTTTCATAAAGGTCTTAATGTTTTTACTGGACATATGTATATCATCTTCAGTGAAATGCTGTTTCAGGTTTTTCACAGAGCAAAGTCTTTGCCTTTTTTTTTTTTTGGTACTGGGGATCAAATTCAGGACCTGCGGTCAGTGCCACTGAGCTAAATCCCTGGCCCCAAAAGTCTTTAATTGTGAAATTAAATTTGTCCATTTGTGGACAGTGCTTTTGGTATGATCATATATTAAAACCCTTTGCCTACCCTCGTTCATGAAGATTTTCTATTGTCTCCTCCCCCTCCTATCCCTGCTCCTCCTTCCTCTTCTCTTCCTCCCTCTCCTCCCCGCCCTCTTTTTTTTTGGGGGGGCACCAGGGATCAAACTCAGGACCTCCCACTTGCCCGATAAGTACTGTGACACAGAGCTACATTCCCCAGCCTCCTTTCTTCTAAACATAGTTTTAGCCTTATATTTAGCTCCAAGACCCATTTTGAGTTAATTTTTATATATGTGTGAGGCAAGGGTCTTACCCTATCTCAGTATGTTTGTTTGTTTTAGTACCAGGGATCAAATTCAGGACCTTGTGCTTAAGGGGCAGATGCAGTGCCACTGAGCTAAATCCCCAGCCCTTGGTACCGTTTTAGGAAAACATTATCTTCTCGTTGTGATTTCTTATTTGGCCCTAGGGGTTTTACATTTTTCATTTATTCAGCTTATTTGGGTTTGTTTTCCTCTCCTTATGCTTTTTCTTTTTTTGGAGGGGACAGGGTCTCACAATGTAGTTCAGACTGCTCTGAATTCACTGTGTAGCCCAGGCTGGTCTTGAACTCAGTGATCCTGCCTCAGTCTCCCGAGTGCTGGGATTACAGGTGTGCGCCACTATGTCTGGCTTTTCTGGGGTACATAGTGAGACGCTTTTTCAAAAACCAAACCAAACCAGACCAAAGTAGTTCATGAATCTATGGGATTCGGTCAGTTTGGCTGGCTCTGTGGTTACGGCAGTAGACATTTTTGACCCAGCTTATCCATTTGCCCTTCCTGATCCAGCCCCTTAGAGAAAGGAGAGAGAAGTGGATTGGCTGGTAGCACCTCAGAAGAGCTAGAGGCTGATATTCATAGGGATCTGCAAGGGCTGGACAGAGTACTCAGTGCTCACGAAGAACCAAAAGGACAAAGGCATAATTTCCTCGTGTGAATGACTGAGGGAGAGCATTGGAACTCAGTGTCTTTCTCCCACTTCCGGTAGTGGGGCTATTACCAGAGAAACTGGAAGAGACAGAAGTATCTACCATGCAGCCTTTAAGTTCAAAGTAGGCACTGATGAGAGTTATAAAGGCCTCACTTTTGATTCTCAAATGTCCCCAAATTTCAGACACAGATGAAGGACTTAGGGGGTGACCACTGCAGCAGCAAACAGTAGTTAAGGAGGATGTGGGACAGTGGTGTGTGCAGAGAATGGTCCCATCACCTGCCTGATGTGTTAAGAGGGAGCAAATCCCTATGAAGTTTTTTTTCCAGATTTTGAGGGAATTTTCTCAGCTGTGTGGGAGTCCTCAGTAGCTTCAGACTCCTACCCTCCTCTAAGACTACTTGAGAGAAGTCAGGAGAGGCCATCTTTCAGGAGCGCTGGAGAGGGACGGCAGAGCTCAGAGGGCCTGAGGGTACCCTTCAGTGCGGTCGGGAGGGGCAGTTTCCCAGTGGCCGCCGGCAGGAGTGGAAGCTGAGTCCCAGGCTTCATAAAGACCTTGTACACAAGCAGTGAGAGCGGCATGAGACTAACCCAGACAGCAGCTTCCTTCCCACCAGGAATGTAGCAAAAGCTCTTCATGAGAGTGGAAAGGGAAAGCCTTGGGATCACTGAACTTAAATAGGAAATGACTTGAGAACATTCTGCAGTGAGTTTATTCAAATACTGAAGTTACTACCTCCCATTTGGTAGAATGTTGGATTGTGATAAAAACTATTTAAAAATAATGTTAAAATTTTCATATTATGTATTTACATGAAAATATTATTTTAATGTGCATATGTTACAAAACATCTTTGGAATATTATGGAAAGGGCTTTTAAAATATGAAAACAATTTTCAGAGAGACTGAAATTTTAAAAATTATGTATGTTATGGCTTGTATCTAGATGTCCCCCCAAATCCTTATGCAGTCATAGGCGGGGTTTCTGGAGGTGGCCGGATCTAGGGTGTGTGATGCTGGGGTTATGGGTGCCCCACCCTGGGTGTGAGAGCTACCTGCCCTAAAGGTGGGGAGCCCGGATGGAATGTAAGGGACAGAAAGCAAGCCACTGCTGTCACAGGGTGCTGTGCTGCTCTGCCGCCTTCGGCCTACCCTGCTCTGCCAGACTGCTTCTCCTCTGTGGGGCCCCCCACCCCCCGCCGTGCCACTGTGCCTTGGAGCCAGCTGAAACCTCTCTACAAACTGTGAGCCAAAATAAGTCTTTCCTCCTCTAACTTTGGGTGCTGGTATTTTGTCTCAGCGATGAGAAAAGTAACTAAGACAGTATGTTTCCTCTACTCGCTCAGGAATTTCTCTTGCAACTCTCTTCAGTACTATTAGAAAGCCAGTGACCTGTGGGAAACGCCTGATTTTGTAAATTTTTAACCCCAAGGAGTATTTACCAGCAAAAGCTCTGAACGGTTACTTCCATATGTTCCCTAAGTTAAAATCTGATTTACTTGTGGTTCCTCTCCCTCTTTGGGGAGAGTCAGCTAGCCAATACAATGAGGAGCTGGATGCCTCATGGCAAAGATAAGGAATTAGCTCAGTGGGGCACTGACTGCAGGAGAGGGGGCAGAACCAGAGAACTTTCTAGAATGAACTCAGTTGGAATAGACTTTAATCTTTTGGGAGGGAGGCAAGAGTCTGTGTAAGTTTCCCCACTACAGTGAAGTTTACTGTCAATTATTTATTGATAAATTTTCTAAAAAAGACTGAAAAGGATCTATGGCCTCCCAATTTCTCCTTTTATCTTTGTCCTATACACCTCATGTATTATGAGTTTTTTTTTTTTACAATCAGATTTTATGCATTCTTGAGTAATAAGTAAATAAATGAGAATTTTCTCAAATTCTTCCTAATAGTCCCAGGACTCCATTTATCATACCCTATCCAGTCCTAGTTCCCTCCCAATTTTTCTTTGTCCACAAAAGGATTATGAGTAATCAAGAGAGGAGGGCATGATGCTGGGCAGATGCCCCTGCCACCAGACAGGACATGGAAGATGGGCCCATTATAACTGGAGATTCAGAGTTTGATTTTTCTCATTCTCGTTCTCCTAGTGAAATACTAGAAGCATAAAACAGATTACCCGAGCCGTAAGATTTGGCTGGGAGTGCTCTGAAGGGGGCTACTGTTAGTCCCTTCTCTAGCAAGCAAAATGAGTTAGCATATTAGAGTAAAGAAAAATCAGACATTAGGTCAAAACATCTAAATTCATGTCTCGGCTCTGCTCATATCTCTAAAGCATGAGAAGCTCAACAGAATTTTCCAGGTCTGATTCCCCGCCTGGAAAATGTGTGGATTGGAGAAGACACATTTTAAGGACCCTTTCAGCACTACAATTCCACTTCTAGTCTTGAAACATACACAAATCTGAAACTTTATTAGACACATCAACTATATCCATGACGGCTCTCTTTCTGTTCACCTTCAAATCGCATATTCTTTTCCACTTATTGGTTACCAGCAGCCAGAAGGCTCCCAGTCAAAAAAGGTTTCTTGGGACCCAGGAGCAGAAGCATCTTCTCAGGCAAAAAGGAAAAATGACTGCAGTAGCAAAGGCAACCGCAGCTCCAACCTCCAGTCTGAAATGGGGACAGGTGGCCCTACTCGCAGCCTGCCGGGCTTGAAGTAGCAGCCGCTGTGGACACTCTTCCTTTATCAACATGGGCCCTACTCTTAAGATCCGGGCCAGCAGCCTACAACCAGCTGTGGCTGTACAGCCCTTCACCTCCAAAGTTGAGTTGATGCCTCCTATGAAATAAGGAAGGATGAGGAGACTAGGTGTTTTGGGAAATCCAGGCCCCCACCCCACCCGGGAATCCCAACTGCCACAACTTCCAGGGGTCTACTTAGATATCTGGTTTTATGAATCCGTCACATGTTCGTTTCAGCTTACCTCCAGAGACAGTAAGTTTTCCTTGATAGCATCGAGTTGTACCACTGGGGCACGGCAGAGAGGGAGCACTGAGACAGGTTCCCAGAGCCACACACGTCGGGCAGTGGAGGGCTGGCACACTGGGAGCTGGAAGGGGAAATAGTACAGAACATGGCTTGTTCTGAAGAAGTCTCTCCTTGCTGCCTTTTCTACCCCAAATGTTTTTGCTGATAACACTCTGCATTTATGACTACAGTCTCCTCGTTCCTCTCCAGCTGATGTTGTGTGTCAGAACCTCATCTACACGACTTCCAAACTCTAAAGGACACAGTTCTAGTATCAGTGTCTACAAGAATAAAAGCATGTAGTACGTTCAAAGCATAGTGGCAAAGGAATGGAAGAATATGAATTTGGTGTTTTCAAAGAGCTGAAACCTGACCTGAGAGGGAGAACGAGCAGAGGTTGGCTATGTGAAAATGGGGTTCAAGTGGGGGTAGCAAAAGCAGCAAGGGCAAAGGCCAGGAGATGTGAGCCAGTTTGATGGATTTGAAGAATTAATTGTAAGACGGTGCAGGCTGATATTCAGCTGGTAGGTTACAGGTAAGGCTGAACTGTATTGTTTTGGTTTGTCCATGGCCATCATTGGAGAATCATTATGGGGAATCAGATTTCCCCATGAGGTCAACATCGAATCTAACCACTGATTTTGATTCCCTTCTCGTCCAATTCAGTCTGTGATCAGAATTGTGAAAAGAATTCATTTCGTGAACCGAGGGACCATTGCATTAGCCCCAGCTAAGTTACAATAAATGAGACGTAGGAGAGGGAAATGAAGGTGCAAAGATAGGCAGGATCAGATTACTACAGGGCTTGAGGCTAATCGGGAAACTAGGCTGTTGTCACACTGTAATAAGGAACCGATCAATAATTGCTAGACTAGACTAATAAGTCCACTGTCCCACTCAGAAACCTACACAGATATCTTACTGCTTAATAAACACAAACCCAGGTTACACTTCAGCCTTCACTGATGTCCCTTTGCTCTGATTCAAAGGTAATACTTCTGAAAAAGACAATTACTCTGGGAGACCCCATTGGGTCTGGCCAATTTGGGCCTATGCCAAATAACACAAACAGGAAAGAAATAGTCTCCTCTGGTGTTCATGGAGTCTCTCTTAGCACCTATTTCCCCTTTCCCTAGGTACCTGAGGTCTCTTCTTGTCTCCAAAATGAAGATACATTCTCTCTGTTGTTGCAAAGGGAATCCTCACAGTAGTTAGTGTAGGAGACTGCCACCAGGCCAGGGGGTGGAGAGTGCTGGATAAATGTCACGGCTTCTGCCCCTGCAGAGACGCAGCCCTTTGTGGCCAAAATGGCAGTCTTGTCTCCTGCTGAGACAGCAGGGAAGGAAAGTGGACAGTGAGTCTAATGTTCGGTCCGGGGAAGGGGAAACAGCAGTGATATGGTTATAATCACCCTCTCTCCCACTCAGCTGCCCAATTCTCATTTTACCTGCTGTAATCATTAGCATAGTTTCCTGGCAAAATGACCTTTTGTTGTCACAAGTCTCAACTTTTTCTGTAGTCCAGTTAAATGTATTTCTTGGGTCGTCTTCTACAGTCATGAAGACACCCTTGTGACAATACAAATGCTGTGCCACTAGGAAGAAAAGGAGATAAAGATGAGCACTTGCCCTTCTCTGGGGCCAAAGTCATTCCTTTCTTTTCTTTATGTTAAACCCCAAATCCATCTTCTGTGACCCAGCTATTCTTCCCCCATATCCCAAATACATACTGGTCAAGGAAGAGGATCCGAGGAGGAAGAGGAACAGCAGATCCTGGAAATGGCCCATGACTTCTCTTAGAGAGGATGGAAAAGGCTGATCAGAATCTATGACTTGAAATTTAAAATGCAATTTATGAACCAGATAGCAATTAAATCTAGGTTTTCAGCAAGTACTGACTGACTCTGGGGTAGATTTATGATAAACAAGACCATAACTTCTGAAGTCTATCCCTAACTAATTGGGGAGTATGGGCAAATTAATAAATTTATCAGTGGGCCAGGGATTTAGCTCAGTGGCACCACACCTGTATTGAAAGTGCAAGGTCCTGAGTTTGGTCCCTGGTAACGCAAAAAAAAAAAAAAAATCAGCAGTTTCCATGCTGATAATTCTCACTTGTTTACCAAGACTGAGAAATTCAGCAAGATATACACTTTAACTTCTAGGTGCAAGGATCTGGGTCCAAAGATCCTATTTCCCAGGATTCAGGAGTCCAAGCTAAAACCAGCACTCTCTAAAGGACTCAATATTTTAGTCTGTCTACTCCCCAGCTATATCAGAACCCTGATTACTAACAGTCCAAACCTATACTATCTAGAAATGTAGGAGTTTGGTTCCAACTGCCTTTTTTCCTCAGGACACAAAATTCCGGGACCAGGCATTCTTCCTCAAACTTGAAAACCTGGGTCCCAGACCACTGTCTCTAAAAGCAAGGTCCAGATCTACAATGATCTACCCTCAGACAGACACAAGAGCCCAGGCTCAAGTTCTTCTTTGCCCAGACCCAGGGATCCAAGCTCCCATTCCTTTTCCCTCAAACCCAGGGGCTAAAACCCCCAGACACAGGAGCACAGGCTCGAGCCCTTCCTCCCTAAGACTCAGGCTTTCAGGCTCCTAAATATTCCACACTGACCCAGGAGTCCAGGTTATGGTCCCTAATCCCTCAATACCCAGGGGTACAAGCCAAGTCCCTCTTCCTTCAGACAAAGGAGTCCTGGCCCTGGGACCTGTACTTTTCAGGTCCTTGTGCGCTACTCCGTAAGATTCAGGGGCCTAGGTCCTAGCTCACCTCCCTCGGACCCAGAGGTTCAGCCCCATCCTCCGCCCTCAGACCTAGAGACCCAGGCTCCAGTCCTCCCTGCAGGATGCAGGGTCCAGGTCCCAACTCTCCTCACTCAGGTCCATTGGTCCAGGCTACACTCCGCTCTCATTACGAGGGCTCCTGTCCTACGTTTTCCTCTGGCGCGGGAGTCTGTTCCCAGCCCCTCTTTCCTCATCAGGGACTCTAACCCCCTGGCCTTCGCTTTCCACATATCTATAAAACAGGGTCCCTTTCTTCCGTTTTTTTTTTTCTCTTCTGGCAGCAAAATTCTTGCTGTGCACCACAGGACCTCACCAGAATCTCACGACGCCAAAAATACGTTCTACGGCTTCTCGGCCTTCTTCGCTCACGCCTTCCAGAAGCACGGAAGGCGGGGCCAAGATCAGCTGACAGAACACTCGAGGTTCCATTGGTTGGTGTTAAAGTAGAGGATGGTCTCATTGGATGAGCCTGGAGAATCGCTGCGCCTCATTGGCCACTGAGAAGCCAACCCTAGCTGCGTCAGAAGATACAATACGCATGCGCTGATGGCCTCCACGTGGAAAAGGTGCGCATGTGCGTAATGCCGTTGCTGAAATGGCAGCGGGAGAGACTCACGGAGTCTTTGTTGCCTGAGGCATGAAATGCAGGAATTGTGGTATATCTCTAAGTGACCTGGCTTCCTCCCTTGGTGGTACCCTGGCTTTTTGAATTTATACACATTAGGAGCCTAGCTGTTTGGTCTTTACTCAGTGAACCAATGGCTCACCTGTATGGCCTCACATGTTCCTGAGTCGCCACTGCCACTCTCGTGTTCTTGGTCCTGCTGTGGGTGGGTCCCCTCATCCACCGAGTAGCGTACTTGCCCTCCTGAGACTTCACTTGCAGCAGTGGCTGCTCAGCCGCCTTCATGCTCTGGTCACATCATCGCACCAGCAACCCCCATGGTCTCCTGGAAGAGGTGAGTGCCCTCTTCAGTGGCGCTTTGGGCGGCCCTAAATTGTATGCACGAGTAGTAACCGATTGATAGCACTGTTGCCATCAGATTTAATCTACGTATCTATGTCAGTATGAACAAAACACATTCAAATTTGTTGTACACAGATGAGAATTGTACCTTATGTGTATGTGAGCTGTCATTGTGTGAAGGACCCACTTTGTGTGCTTTAAGAAGGACTGGTACTCTCCTGTGGGTTTTGGTAAAAGTTAATATTTAGTTGGGTTTTTTTTTTTTTTTTTTTTTTGGGTACCAGGGATCGAACTCTAGTCCTTGTACTTGCGAGGCAGGTGCCAGAACCACTGAGCTAAACCCCTGGCCCCAGTACTTAGTTTTAATAGAGAAAAGGTTACTATAAGAAGGGGATTGACAGAGTTCTTAATTTTTACGTAGAAACATGTTTAACACTTCCAATAGTTATAAATAGTTTATGGCTAGTTACTAAATCCATTAGGAGATAGTAACTTAGCTCACTTACTTCAGGAAGAATATTATGCCCCTTAAGGGCCTCTAGAAATGTTTCTAAAGCCTAAGAAAATTTAAGACAAAAGCTTTGCAATCATATTATATTATAGTCCTAAGTGTTGTATATTTTGTGTCTTTATTGAGGGGATGGGAGGTAATTAAGCTTCAGATACCTTCAGGTCCTGGGACTTTGGGGAAAAGTTCATTGGGGTCTTCAGGGGGCAGGAAGGAGGGAGCACCTCACAAAAGTGTTGTGGCCAATTCCACTCTTGTCCCAGCAATAAAATGAGGGGCTGTGCATTCAAGCTTTAGGATAGGAGGTGTATTATGATGATGTAGGCATGGCTTAGTCTCACGCCTGTTTGCCTGGCACATTCCGAGAGCTCTGTCCACTTAGTCCTGATTTGTGCCTTTTTAACAAGTAGCAGGCTGATATTACAGAAAAGGCAGTGAGAAACTCACCTCAAATACTGGATCTCTGGTGTCTGGCCTCCCTGGTTTTGTCCTTTCTTAGGAACCTATGGGTCCTTGCCCCAAGCCTTTCCTCCCTCAGACCTAGAAGTTCACCTGGGTGCAGGGATCCAAATTACAACTCCCTCAATTTTCAGCAACCAAATATGTCAAGGTGAAAGGATTCCTTTGAATTTCTTTAGAGTTGATATTCTGGGAGTGAAGAGGAAAATGAATTTTTTTTAATGGAGAAAATGCTACAGTAAGAATAATATTGGTAAATTTTTATTTATTTTTTTGGTGGTACTGGAGATCGAACTTGGGCCCTTGTGCTTGCAAGGCAGGCAGTGGAATGACTGAGCCAAATCCCCAGCCCGATATTGGTAAAATTTTTATGTAAAATGTATTAAAACTTTTCAAATGGTTAAACGTGCTCAGGACAGTTAATACAGCTATCAAGAGAAGGTCCTAGTCCATAGGGACCCAGGAGTCTGAACACTCTCTTGTCTTTTCAGGCCCCAGGCTTGTGGCATTTACTTCCCTTGATCTGAAAGTACTCACTTTATCAGAGGGTGGTCCTCCTGGAGTTCACTCTGCCACTTCAGGGATGGGCAGGGTCCTGGCTATCAGTGACCATTGCCAGTGTGGGACTCATGGATTCGTAAGAACAGGAGAGCATAAACAGTGTGGGGAGTTCCACACCGACCTTGAACTCCAGGCTTTGCTGCCTTCCCTCAGCCATTCCTATCTCTGAGTCTGGCCCTGCCTTGCTTCTTTAAATTTCTGTCCCATATGTGTCTTCCAGGATCTGTAAAGAGGTCATCTTCGATTGGCTCTTGGCCTTTGTGTTGGTTTGCTAAGGCTGACATGAAGCAAGTAACAGGAATATGTCATCTTACAGTTCTTGTGCCTAGAAATCTAAAATCAAAGGGTTGGGCCAGGGATTTAGCTCAGTGGCACTGCGCCTGCCTTGCAGGCATAAGGTCCTGAGTTCAATCCCCAGTACCCCCTCCCCGAAAAAGTGTTGCCAGAATCGGTTCCATTTGAGGGTTGTGAGGGAAAATCTATTCCAGGTATCTCTCTTTGGCTTATGGATGGCAGTCTTCTCCCCATCCCTTCTTATCCTCTTTCCTGTGTGTGTGTGTGTGTGTGTGTGTGTGTGTGTGTGTGTGTGCCTTTGTGTCTAAATTTCCCCCTTTGAAATAAAAAGGACTAAGATACAGTATGTGTGGTCCCAACACATATGATGAATATATTCATTATGTATTGCAAACATGTAGTGATAAAAATAAATTATATAGACAAATTTATCCCTTTTTATTTTTTCAAAGCTTTGCTTTTTATCAGTGCCTGTTAGTAATACAGAGTGGTTAGGTTCATTTTGGTAAATTGATACACGCATTTAACGTATCTTGATTTTTTTTCTGTCCCATTACTCTCTCTCCCCTTGTTCTCCCTTCTAACCTCCTTCCTCATCTCCAAAAGTCTACCTTCTGATTTCCTGTCATACTCCCCACCCCAAATTTCTTATATAAGAGAAAATGTGATACTTAACTTTCTGAGTCTGGCTAATTTCACTTAATGTGATAGTCTCTAGTTCCATTCACTCTTGTGTTTTTTTTTGTACCTGGGATTGAACTCAGGACCTTGTACTTGCAAGGCAGACAGCAGTACAACTGAGCTAAATCCCTGGCCCTCCGTCCATTCTTTTACAAATAGCATGTTTTCATTCTTCTTTATGGATGAATAATATTCCATTATGTATGCCCTACATTTTCTTTATCCATTCATCTGTTGATGGACATCTAGGCTATTTTCACACCTTAGCTATTGTGAATCACACTACTATAAACATGGGTATGAATACATTACTATGCTATACTGACTTGACTTCTTTTGGGACTGTGCCCAGGAGTGGTGTAGCTGGATCGAATGGCATTTCTATGCTTAACTTTTTTTGAGGTATGATTTTAGTGACTTCCTTAGTAGCTTACATTCCCACCCTGAGTGTAGGAACGTTCTTTTTACCCAGTATCTTTATCCCCACTAGCATTTATTGGTTTTTGTTTTCTTGATGATAACCATCCTGACCAGCGTTGTAAATGGCCACTTTCTCCCTGTCCTTCACACCATCCTCCCTCTGTGTATTTTTCTCTTTGTGCCCACTTTCCCCTCGTTATAAGGTCATACTCATGTTAGAATAGGGCCCGCCCATTTGCTACCAATCAGTAAAGGCTCATTTGTTTGCTATGGATAGAAATCATAATTAGGCAGTGTAGCTCACTTATGTTAATCGCTCTGAGTATGAGTGCCAGAGCTCTGAGCTCACAGTATTAGGGGCCTTTCTCTCTGTTCTGACAGCTTGGACCGGCAGCTACTAGTAGCCCTCTGATTTTGCCAACAGCTGTTTTCTTGTGGCTCCTGGTTTCCATTGCTCTTCATTGTTCTCTGGATGTTAGCTGCCCGCGGTGTTGCCAGCTCTTAGTGCACCAGCTTAGATTGCTCTATTCAAGATAGAAATCATGAATAGGCAAATGTGTCACCTGAAAGAGTTACAGCATAAGGGTGGACAGTGCAGGGACTGACCTGGGGGGACACAGATCTGGAGTTCTGCTTATATAGGAAGAACAAGTACTCCTGCATATGCACTATCTTGCCAGCTAACTGCAGACTTTCTTAGTCATGGGTATGGGAGGGGCTCCTTGTGGACCAGTTTGAGGATGGCTACAGGGTGTGGAATCATCCGGAGAGGCTGATGGGCACAGTAATGTAGGATGGGCTCATGACCGCAGATCTTGCCATAGACAAGTCAGATGTCTCCACGAGCTGTGTGAGGCATCTGATGTAGCCAGTCACAGCCAAGAGTACTTGTGGGCAGAAAAATACAAAATACCTCTTTGGGAACATTGGACCCTTCACTTCTTAGTCACTTAATTTTAACCTAAGGACATCTGTGAAGACTCCTTAAAAAAAACCATGTTCTGAGATTCTGGGGTAGGCCTTCAGCATGTTAGGGAGACATTGTTCAGCTTGTAACGACAGAGAGAGAGAGAGAGAGAGAGCTGTGTGCCTCAGATGAAGTAGTAAATGCTGCATTGCACATGGAGCATCTCACCTTGTAACCTCTTCTGTCCTGTGGTGTCTCCTAATGCAGCCCTGGTTTCCCTTGGAGGCCGAGTTGAATGATGAGGGAGGGCTTGGAGATGTGAGACTGACGGAGTGTTCAGGGAGTGGTCAGGGGCCGGAGGCTGTACCTAGGGATCCCAAACAGGCCAGCGAGCTGGGAGCTGAATTTGGGATTCTCTGTTGACATGGGGCTCATACATACAGGGCATCCTAGAGGGTCTGTGGATGGGTCACCCCTGCATACCCCAGATTCCTAACCTGATTTCCATATAAGAGTGATGAAAGAGACCCCTCTAGGCACATAGAATCTGATTCTTAGGGAAGGGCTATGGGGTTTCTTTTACTTTCAGGCTTGAAAAGCCTTTGACATCACAT